TTCCTTCCCACTGCTCAAGATATCTTGGAGGTCATTCGAGATGTCTATTCTAACTTGAAAACTTCATTACTACTTTTTGAGTTGAAAATTCAATTTTGAAAATCCAAACAAAAATAATTATGATGTTACTACATATTGCAATGAGTTGGTAACATTATAGCAGAAGTTTGATCAATATTATAATGATATTTTGGAGAATTCGAATGATTATGTTTGCCACAACAAAAAAGAGTAAAACGATGGAGTCTATATGTTCTTAGCTGACCTTAATCGGACTTCAGACAAAGTCCAAGGTCGAATCCATAATAGGAAACCTCTACCCTTGATTCGAGGAATTTTTTTAAGTTAGATGTGAAATGTTCAGAAGAAAGATTATGTTGTGAAATACCAAGTCATTTTATAATAATGAACAAAAGAGTTCAGCTCTTATCAAGTGGAGTTGATACCGACAAAGAAGGGCGTAAGAAATAATAGTGCGATCATTGAAAAATATCATGACGCATGAATGAGACATGTTGAAAGCTTCATGGTAAACATGCTAATTAGAAATCAAAATCCAAACATGAAGGTCAAGCTTATCAAGCCATAGCGAAAGAAACGCGAGAGCCTCCAACTAACTCGAATGCAGTCCCTTTCAACAAGAAGCAATCAGAGCACCTGGAAAAATTATTTCAATCTCCAAAATTATCATTGAATCTATCTTGTTCCTTAGTATAGAAGGGCAACACTTAGTCATTAATTTATTAGGTGTTATTGCTAGTTTTTCTCACACTGCATATTTGATTCTAGCACAACAAATCACATGACTTGGTAATCAAGATTATTTTCCTTCTATAGACTTTGAGCAGATGATAAAAATATCAAAACTATCAATAGTTCCCTCTCAACAATTGTCGAGATAGGAATTATCAAATTCTCCTCGTGGTTAACTCTTTGTGATGTTCTCTACATTTCTGATCTATCATGTAACTTCTGTACATTAGTAAAATTATTACTAATCATCAGTGTAAAGCTAATCTCTATTCTTCTTAATATGAGTCTCAAGAATTAACCATGGGGAGGATAATTGGCAGCGCTAAGAAAAAAAATATACTAAAAGTTTGATGATGGAATTTACTCGAATAGATAATGTTAAAGTACTAGTTTAAATTTTATTTTATTTCTAAAGACAATGATATTATGTTATAGCATTATAGGTTTGGTCATCAAAATTTTCAGTACTAAAATGCTTGTTTCCCAAATTATTTTAGAATTAAAATTTATCTTTGTTTTAACGTGAAATTTTTCAGTTTGTTAACATCTTAGTGCTTCATTTTCTCCACAAATATAGAGTAAATTACACCATTTGTTCTTAATTCATAGAGATATTTGGGGCCATTGTAAAAACCTTACACATTATGCGATTAAATGGTACATGGCTTTCATTATGATCACGCTAGGTTATGCTGAGTTTCTTTAATGAAAGAAAAATCTGAAGTGAAAATAATTTTCAAAAAATTTTGCATTATAAAAAAATTCAAAAAATTATTCAAATATTACAAAGTGATAATAAGAGTATTTCAAAAATATTTGAGATCAATTTTTTCTCAAAAAAAATTATTAAAGCTCGTGTCAGCACTCCACAACAAAATGACGAGGTTGAATGAAAACACAAACTTATTGGAGATAGCTCGAGCATTGTTATTTACCAAACAAGTGCCTAAACATCTTTGGGCTGAAGTTGTTTTTACTGCTACATTTCTCATAAATAGAACACTCAATAAAAATTTAAACTTGAAATAACTTTTGATGTTTTTCAAAAAAAAAAAAATTCAAAGAAGCGGCTCTCATCTTCCCTACCTCTAAAGATATTTAGGCGTACTGTTTTCATTCATATTCATAATCAAAGAAAACTTGAACACCAAGCCAAAAAATGTGAGTTTGTTAGTTATGCTCCTAACTAAAAGGGGTATAAATACTTGGATCTCAATTCTACAAAAATGTTGGTTACCTTGGATATCACTTTTTTTGGATTACAATCTTTTTTTCACCTCATCTTCAAAGAAGTGAACAAAATAAAAATTTTCCTACTGAGTTTCAGAATTTCCTTTAAATCCAAAACTCCCAAAATAGTACTTTTCATTCTTAATTGTTCAACCTGAAAACCTAAGCGATATTATAAAATGAGAATGTGTCAAGCATTTCAGATACTGAAGCACGTACAATGATAGTAGTACGGTTTGATATTGTCTCCTGGTGGCAGAGCACAACTCAAAAGAAAAGGTCTATAAGAATTCTTTGCATTGCCCAGAATCTGCGAACTTGTCAGGTAATGTCCTCACAAATTCTTTACCACATGTTTAGTCCACTTCATCTTCGAATTATGAGTCTTCTAGTCCTGAATTTGAGCATTGTTTGAATCCTACGTCTAATGACTCTAACCTTCTCATTGCAAAATAATCTTGCAGCCAACATCCATGTCTCATTTTATGTCATATGAAAGCATCTCACCTACTTTCTGTGTTTTTATCTCAAATTGTCATGTATGAAGATTCCTAACATTGTGCAGGATGCTCTGAAAGTCCCTAAGTGGAAGAAGGTTGTATTTGAGGAGATGAAAAAGGTTGAAAAAATAGTACATGGGAATTGGTTGATTTACCTAGAAGAAGGACAACTATTGGGTGCAAATGAGTGTTTACAATCAAATATAATTCTAGTGACTCTATAGAACGGGACAAACCTCAACTGGTTGCCAAGATATTCACTCAAACCTACGACATTGATTATTTAGAAACATTCATTCTGATCGCAATGCTAAACCTTTTAAGAATTTGTCTGTCACTTTTAGCTAATATTGACTGGCCTCTACAATAATTGGATATAAATAATTTCTTCTTCAATAAGGATTTGAAGCAAGAAGTGTATATGGATGCACCTCTTGGATTTAGTGAGAAGTTTAACACAAAGGCGTCTAAACTGAAAAAATTCTTAACGGGATGAAGCTGTCACCGAGAGCTTGGTTTGAGTATTTTACACTCTTTGTTAAGGATCTAAGTTATCAAGGGCATAGAGGTTATACAATATTTTTCAGACATGAAAAAAATTCTTAAAGAGTTAAGGATCTAAGTTATACTCAAGGGCATAGAGGTTATACAATATTTTTCAGACATTCAAGCGATAGGAAGATAGTCGTACTAATTTTGTATGTGGTTGATATTATTTGCTAGAAATGATGCATATGAGATGAATCGTCTGAAAACTTCCCTATCATCTATTTTTAGAACTATGAATGCAGGATCTCTGAGGTACTTCCTTGGCATGGAGGTTGCTCAATCAAAGAAAAGAATGATTGTCTCCCAACATAAGTATATTCTTGATCTTTTCAAGAAAACTGAGATGAGATGAGATGAGAAGGAAGGTGATATAGTGAATATAGTAAGTGTCAAAAATTGATGGGAAAGTTAATATACTTATCACATAACAGTCAGGTATTGCCTTTACAGTGAGTTTGATAAGTCAATTTATGTATTCGTCCTATGAGAAATGCCTTGAAGCAATCAAGAGAATTCTCAAATAACTAAACAGTACCCCAGGTAAAGGCATAATCTTTCAGAAGACCACACAAAAGAGCATAAAGATGTATGTTGATACAGATTGAGCAGGCTCAATTATTTATAGGATCAACTTCTGGATATTGCACTTATGTGTGAGGCAATCTGGTCACATGGTGAAGTAAGAAACATAAGATGTTTGCAAGGAGTAGTGCTAAGGTGGAATATATTGCTATGACTAATGGAATATGTGAAATATTATGTTTGAAAATTATTTCTGAAGAACTACAGACATCAATAAGCATGCCAATAAAGTTATATTGTGACAATAAAGCAACAATAAGCATTGTCGAAAATCCAGTGCAGCAGAATCACAAAAAAATGTGGAGATTGACAGACACTTCATAAAAGAGTATATTGAGTGTGGAGTTGTTTGCATGTCATTTACTACTACCGCTCAATAAATAGCAAATATCTTCACCAAAGGATTATTCGGGCCTAATTTTGAACTCCTTGTAAGCATGTTGAGCTTGATAGATATCTATGCACCAACTTGAGGGTGGTGCTGAAATTTTAGGAATATTTTAATTTTAGTATTTTTTTTTATTTTTAGAATTTAAAATTATAGGCATGTTATAATTCCTATTTTCCCCTTTATCAATGGGATTTATAGTTGATTTTATGATTTTTCTGATATGGGAGTAATCCCTCTCTATTTATCTTGTAATTGTTTCCAATGAATTGAAGATGAATAATTATTTTTCCCTCTCAAAACTTACAAATATAGAACTTTGGGATATGTTCACCGAATTTACTACTTTCCCTCATTCATTCCCCCACTTAAATAATCTTTAAGCCTAAAAATGAGCTTAAGTGACAGCATTAACCAATGATTTTCTTTTGTGCACAGGAAAAATAAACAATCATAGACCCATAGGAATCTTGAACCAAATATAAACAAACCCTTAATCGCAAATATAAATCTAAATAATCAACTCTTAAAATCACCATTGAACTTGAATACAAGGTTAAATATCCCTTTGGGCTCACAACTAGCTAATGCATAGGTACTGCCACACAACACATTCCAAAATCCGTCAAGAAATATAAGCATAGTGATGGGAAGAGCAGTTAGAGAACTTAAAGTATTCTCTTTATAAAAAAAAGGCTCTGGAAAACAATTTTCTTCAATCACTGGTGACGTCATGGTCAAGTCAAACTCAGGTTGACCAAGCAACGGTTAGTGAACAAATGGAGCCCTGTTTTCATAGAAATTAAGCTTTTCATTCAACAGAAGAATTCACATAAAATTGTATGAAAATTTCACTTTTCGCGTGTCTAAAAGAATGAAGATATCGTTTCCAATCTATTGTCATAAGAAATAAACATGAAAAGCACATGATATGCGAGAAGAACAGACATCAACATAGTAACTTTAGCATTATATTCTCGCAATTAAAAATATGATACCGTTTCAATTGCATTCATAAGACGCCTGCACATTCCTTTACGACGTTGAAGACCGCATGTTGAAATAAGAGGCATTTCTGCTACTTTTACTCCATGCACCCTACAGAAATAGGTTACAGGCAAATCAATCACGCTTTCAGTTATTAGTTTAAGACCAGATTATCTTTTAGTTAACATGAGTTAAGGTCTTTCAAAAATACATGTTAGGATCTAGCCTAGATACATGTGGAGACTAACAAGTCTAGGATTGACTTTCAGTGGAATTGATGCATTCAAGATTAAAAATTTGGGTTGAAAACAAATTGCTTCAATTTTTATCATGTTGATTTTATGTTGTCAGTGGGTTATTTGCACAGCACAATCAGATGATCTCTATTGTAAAATGAAAGCTGTAGCTAAACAATAAATTAAATCATCCCGGATAATTCAGTCTATAGTTATAGATAGATATGTCCACATTATAACCTTACCTAATTCAAGACCAAACATCATTGTTCATTGGTATGGTATATCAGTATCTTTTATTTCATCTGTTTTATATATGTACATTTGTTTAATGGATAAATTAGTTATTACCATTATTGTCACTTTAGACATGTATGAGAATTCTACTTTGAATAAAGGGATACCGTGTGTTGTAAAAAATACTGTATTATTGAATGAAGATTTACTCCCGCTACAAAGGCTTCCCTCCTCCCCACTTGGATGGCTCCCTCTAATTATCAACCAGCACCATTTCTCTTACTTTAACTCACTTGTCTCTCTTGGAGTGCCTCTTTATATTAAATACATAAATATATCAATCTTCTCATGGATTTATCTGAGCAAGAAGAGCATTTTCATCTTCAACCACTGCCACAGTCTAAAGTTCTTCGACGCACTTGTACAGGTCAAGCTCCTTTTCTTGCATATTACATTCTATGTCAAAATATTAAGGGAAGTACAAAACTATACAACTAGATGTACAAATTAAGATTTATCCTCCCTGATAAAAGAAAAAAAAAACAAAAAATATGGCTAAAAGATTCATCATAATTTTCTGGTTGTCAAGTCAATCATCATAATCCCACACAATATATTTATCATCTTATTGGAAGAAATGGGGAAAACAATAACTGAGGCTGATTAAACATCTGGTTTGCTTTTATCTAACTAATTTTTAAAAGATAAGAATTCTTTTGTCCAGAAATCACTAAGTGGCTAACACTTTTTCTTTTGAAATCATTACTAGAAAACAGTGAAATTCTATGCTTAATAACTACCTCATTGTTAGTTACAATTAAATATGAAATCAAAGTTTAGCAAGCAGATTCAAATACCAATAGGCATTAAATCAGTTGACAAATAATTTGGACTACCTTATTGATGCCACAGAAATAAGTACATCACCCTTCTCTAAGATAATAGAGTAAAATCCTTCACAATTTAGGCGAGGAAAGCTTGACCTGAGACACAAAGAAAGAATACAAGTAAATCATTGCAATGGAAGATAGTTAAGGAACAAATTACAATTCTCACCAAAGAAAATGAAGAGTAAAATTATATAAAACTAAAAAGAAAGAATACATGAGTAACCCAACATTTTCTTTGTTGGTCTTCACCAACATGAACAAACAGTCATCGATCATAACAAGGAACATCAGGGGATGTATCTCTGAACAAACAAGAAGCAACTAAGGAGGACTTGCAAAACAGGCAACGATGAGATTATTTATTTAGCAAACCATATTGTACTAATCTTAAAAAACCTTTGAAGGTACATATTACATAATTAAAGTTGTTGACTAAAGTAGATGCTCAAGAAAATCAAAACCTAATGGTTCCAGCCCAATTTGAAAAGTTGCCTAAGAAAAAAAATCTGAATGTTATTCTTGTGAGAAGCAGTGCATTAAATAATATTATGAGTAAGGTTCATTTATTTTCTATTAGTTTCTTTTCAAACCATTTATTTTCTATTAATTTGCAGTATATAGATTGCTTGTGATAAGGATCTTATGAAAAAGTAAAATAGATGGCGGCTGTCTTCCTCCTCCACCCTTCTAGGGTTCTAAGGTAATGGTGGTTGGCTACTGTTCTGGTTACTGTTTGCATCTGGTGTACTGGTTTTTGCTGTTCCTTACCTGGTTTTTGTGGTTTTCTTGCTCCCCGAGAACTGTTCCATTGGTTTTGTTACTGTTCCATTGAATCTTTCTTTGCCTGTTTGTCTCTGCTTGTTTGGTTTGGCTTCGTGGTACTGTTCCATTGGTTTTGAAGTTGTTATTCATGGACAAGCCTTCATATTTAGATGCATTAGAGAGCAACATTGTTACTCCTTTAGACCGGAAACAAAAAGGTTACACTTCCCTCAGAACTTTAATAACCAATTTGTGCTTGGGACTTCCAGGACTTTTCGTAAAAAAGCTCTTAGAAAAAATGGTAAACTAGCACTGTATTTTTCTGACTTTGACAATCAGCTGCTAGCACACCCATTGAAGTTCACCTTGGTGGGCAACTTCACATATTCACATCCTAAAATGGAGGGTATAAGAAAGTTCTTTTCTTACCTCAAATTAGAGGGAGCTTGTGGGTTTAATTGATGGTAGACATGTCATGATAAAGCTGGAAAGGGAAACAGATTATACCCAAATCTTCTCTAGGAAGCATTTTACCATTGAAGGGATTAATATGAAAGTGCTTAAAAGGACTATTGATTTCAATCCTCACGAAGAACCCCCTATTGTCCACATTTGTTCAGATTCCCTGGACTGAAGTTACACTACTTTAATATGCAGGTGTTGTACTCCTTGGAGCCATATATGGCACACCAATGAAGGTAGATATCTCCACATACAATTTGACTAGATCTTCCATGGCTAAAGTGCTTGTTGAAAGGGACATTACCCTTCCCTTCCCAGATTCTTTTTGGCCGGGCAGCCCACATTCTGGGTATTGGCAAACTGTAGAGGCGCATTTCATGCCTCATTACTGCATGAATGCGGGGTTTTTTAACATACTTTAGACCACTGCTTCATAGCTCACCCTGAGCTCAGGAAAGATAAAAGAGTTGGCAAAGAACCAATGAGAGTGGAAAATGATCAAACAGGAGTCCCTTATAATTCTGCCACTAATGCTAATCTGGAGATTCCTGATTTGAATATTAACATCGCTGGTAAGAAACGAAATGAAATTCTGGATGCTGGAATCAATATACCTAATGCTGTTAACATTCAAAAGGATCAGGTATTCCTACTGATCCAGCTCTTCAAAATGATAGAAATCAGTCCAAAGTTACTGATGTTGTCAAAATGTATGTGCAAGCTACCTTAAATTTTATGGTTTCCAAAAAAAATAACAAGGTCGATGCTCACCAGAAGGAATGAGCTTTTGTATCTGAATCAGCTTAATCTGGGTGCTCAATTTGCTGCCCCCTTCAATTCAACTTGATACTGCTGTTGATGGACGGCCGTCACTGGTGCATAACTCTACTGAAGGTAACAGCAATAATGACACTTCCACTGATATTGATGAAATTCACTCTGATGACCCACTTCAAGCAAGGGCTGCTTTGGAGGACTGGCTCATTCAAAAATCAAGGAAAAAAAGGTTAAAAGCTCTAGTGAGCTCAAATATTTCAAAGCCCAGGCTGATGTTCTGCAGCAGCCATACAATGGTAAACCTCCTGTTAAGCATGCCTCCACTCCCCCTAGGGTCACTAGAGGGTCCAAGACATCCGTCTTCAATGATATTTAAGTTCCTTATTTCGAATATTAGGGGCATTGCTAAGTCAAGTGCCTCCCATAGACTAAAAAATCTCATCTGACTCCATAATTTACCTTTTCTTGCTGTTCTTGAGCTTTTGGTGGCATCAGCAAACAGCAATATCTATGTAAGGAGATTGGGTAATCTAAACTTGGCTTGTAACATTAACAATAAAATTTGGTTCCAGTGTAAAATACTGTGGATGTGGAAGTCCTAGTTGATGATGCACAGTTCCTTCTGGTTAGAATCAATTTAATGGTCTGAGGTTCCTGGTGACCATTCTTTATGCTGGCTGCAGTAGGGAGGCTAGGAGATCCCTTTGGGATTACATGATCAGCTCTGGGGAGTCATGTCAGGAACCTTGGCTTACTGGTGGAGACTTCAACATGATTATCTCCATATGCAAAAGGCAAGGTGGTACACCTCCCAATCAAAATTTAATCAATCTTTTAGCTGAAAATTTCGAAGATTGACATCTTGACCTTGGTTTCACTGGTTCTATGTTTATATGGAGGACGGAAAATCACTTTGAAAGATTGGATAGATATCTTGCCAATTCCATGTGGGTGAATGCTTAGTCAGTTTAAGGTTCACCATCTCGCTAAAACTGCATCTGATCACTCACCTATATTATTAATGGAAACTCCCAGACCTCATCCCCAACCCTTCAGATTTCTTGGACTTTGTTAGGATTCATTGGGTCTGCAATCTCACTGCTAGCCCCTGGCAATGACTCTGGCAACATCATATAAGTCTGGCCACAGCTCTAAAAAGCGGGAATTGGAAAACTTTTGGTAATGTGCATTATAAGGTGCAGCAACCTGAAATTTTAGTTATTAGTAAGGAAGAAGAGTTTTGTCAGGAAAGAATTTTCTTGGAGGAACTGACTGAAGCCCAGGAAAATCTTATTTCTGCTATCACCTTGGAGGAGAGTTTGATTAAGTTAAAAGGCAGCTGGTCACCTCTTTGTGGATGGTGATAGGAATACTAAGTACTTTCATGCTTTCATGAAGAGGTTTTTGATGCTATCACCAAGATCAAAAACACTAATGGAGAATTGGTCAATGACAGCCAGCAGATCATTGAGGAGGGCGACAAATATCTCCAAGAGGTTGTTTTCTGCCAATGCTCAGAATTCTAAGCTGATTAATCATGAATTATTTAATGAAAACAGAAATTTTGTTTCTAACCTCCAGCTTACTCAGATGCCAACTGAGGAGAAGATACACACTGCTGTTTGGGACATTGACAGCTCTAAAACTGCAAAAGCTGATGGCTTTACTGGTCCTTTTTATAATAGTTGCTGGGACATCATCAAAACTGACCTCATTGCTGCTATAAGAGCTTTCTTCTCAGGACAAGAAGTTCACAAGTTTTTCAAATCATCTGTTATTGCTTTGATTCCTACGACCCCTGCCTTCACTAAATGGTCTGATTACTGGCCAGTAAGTCTCTCAACTGTGGGGGTGTCTAAGATCAACAGTAAGATTATTGCTGCTATGATTCATCCCTATCTCAATTTTATGATTTGAATCAAAATCTGGCAAAATAGTTCGGCAAAAATGTTTGTTTCTTCTTACTATTTCTCATAGTCATTAAATCGTTTCTTATTGGTTTTTTGTTCTCTCCCTCTATAACTAGTTACTTGGTAATTCTTCTCTTTATATGAAATCTGGCTGCAAAACTTATGCAGGGCACCAAGTTGAATCAAGATGACTTACAAGATTAGAACTGAATCAATTGGAATGAGAAAAACATCTAGGGTTTCAATTTTTGAATACCATGCTATGAGAAAAAAATGGATGATCTTATTCAGTAAGCAAACATGTCTCTTTATAAGCATAGATGATAAAAACAGTAAAAATAAAAAAGGGAGAATATAATACAGGAGTTAGCCCAAAATCATGACCGAAGAATAAATATTATTGCTGAATTCAAAATTACGACGACGACTCAACATAAAACGACAGTTTAGGTAGATCTCTAAGACTTCTTCTGACTGAGAACGTTAAACCAAATACTATCTTAGGAGGTAACCCAAACGCTATCCTATTTTTTTGATTTATTTGTCCATTGATTTTTCTTTTTTGTATTTTTATTTTGAAAATTGTGTCAGAATGAGTGTTTGCATGTTGTAAGTTTGTCGTTATCGACGTCTGGTACCTCTATGGAGTAGATGATCTACACGGGAGAGGGCGACGTGAAATTTTTTTTATGTTATACTCGGGTTCGACGTGACCACACCAGTGTCTGGCATGACCATACCACTTTCGAGTGTGACCAAGCCACAACTGGCCCATTTTCGGTAAGTCATGGGTTAGGGCAACATGACCACGAAGCCTCACAATAAAGGCCTCGAAATCCCCTTTTCCTTACCATTACCTCACTTCACTTCACTCAAGCACCTCCTCCTCCGCCTCTACTGCTCTTAGATTGTCAGAAAGGATGCTCTTTTCGCTAGATCCTGCCCTCGATCTAGATGAGCTAGGATTTGGTGAGCATTTGCTTTAGCTTCCTTGTTTCTCTATATTTTTCCATTTGATTCTCACAAATCTCACTCACATATCCATAGATCTGTGTCGACACTGATTTTCCATGGTAGTGCTTTGATTTTCACTCTTGATCTTTGATTTTTTGGCCAAAGAATTCAATTTTTGTGAGCCTATCATTCCAAATCCGAATTTTTTTTCATTTCATGGCTCACAAA